ATAGGAGGAGCTGTGATCTCTGCTTACTAAGTATGTTATGGAGCCAGTGCAGTTCAATGAAAACAAAATTTTAAAAAAATCTTTAGCTTTCTGATTATAAAACTTCTTTTTGCAAAGTATTCTACACTCTCAAACCCAATTAGCATCAGTGTTACTTGCAGCATTCAGCACATCCGAAATTCAGTTAGCATTTGGAAACACGGAATCTGTTACATGTTTTAAGGGCATGATCCTCTATTTCAGACTTCAAAATAAGCTTATTCAAAGAAAAAAAGGCTTCCTAGTCTAATATAAATTGAAATCTTATACATTCTTCCTAATGCCATCAAAACCACTTTGCATCTGTAAGCAGTTCTTGCAGGACAGAAAATTTTGATTCAGCATGTTAGTACTTGCAAACCGAAATTTTAAATGAACACAGATTGATTACTGGACAATTACTATTGATAGAAGCTGAAGTTAAGTCCAAAAGGTTGACATTGTTTCTGACTGGCTAACTCTTTTATTGGAAAAAGTCTCACGACGAGTGAAATTTCAACCTTGTGGAACCAAAACAAAAAGTTTGAAATGTCCAACTTTCCTGGAGAACAGAAATTCCCCTGTCCTCACCAGCCCTTCCCCAGCCTGTGAAAACTGAGACAAGACGACGTTTTCAGAAAGAACTTACAGTGTATTAATATAAGAAAATATTAACACTTGAAAAAGCAGCAGCATTCCCCCGGTTTTCTTGGTAATGGCGTGCCCTGTTAAACCAATCATACTCAGAAATGTGTTTCCATTTCTGGCATGTGGTATGTCTTTGTCCCAAAGCTTCTGATGTCCCATACAAATGCAGTTCTCCTTTAATTTTATAACTGTGGCCCTAACTCAAATCACTTACCATTGTAGAACTGGAGGCTTTTGGTGTTTTAATGGTGTGGGGGAGTTGCTGCTCTGAAGCATTACCGTGCACCAAACACTTTCTAGGTGGCACCGAGAGGTTCTGGGCGCTCTCTGCTGCCATCTTCATGAGTGGAAAGGATCAGTGTCTTGCAGTTCTTCACCTCCACTTTTCCATGAAGTCAGTCACTAAAATATGTATCTGTTCCAAAGAAACACCTTGGTGCCAAGTTTGAGAATAGATGACATTTCAGCGTGTTTGTTCTCAACTGATGAAATATGTAAGTGTGCAGTTTTCTGTTTCTCACTGGTTTGGCTTTTGTAGCTAAATTAGAGCCAGGTGCACAGCTCATGCCTTGCTTGAACTTTGATGGTTTGCTGATCTCTTTGCTATAAGCGTGCACAAGTAAGATGGTATAAACAGCTTGCCTTTTTCTTAAAACCTCAAAGGTCATTACAGTTTTAATATGCTCAGGTGGTGCTTCAAAGAGCCCTTTGTTATTTTACACAGCTAATTCTAAGTAGATCTACATGATATTTCCAGTACCAGAACCTCAATTAAGCCCTTTATTGTAAAACCTTCTTTCTATTAAAGCTTGAATGTACCACATTGATAAACCTGAATGCTTTAGAATGTTTGGGTTTTTTAGCATTAGAGTAAGTGTGTCTAAAAATAAACCAGCATCAGCTTTTTCAGTATCATTTAATATGCATAACAAATACACTAATGTGGGAAAAAAAAAAAAAAAAGAAAAAGCAGAGTTATGTTTTGAAGGCGATTCGATCTCCAAAAGAACAAAACAAAGTTTACGCTTTGACAACAAGCTGGGGGACAAAAGAAACCCAAGTCATTGAGGAAAAGTACCTAATCATCGTGTCAGCTTGACACACTCGATTGTAGGACAGAACTTTCTTTTCGGTAATCTGTTTTGAAAGCCATGAAATAGTCGATAGCAAATGTTAATCTCTCAAGATGTGTGAACCCTCTAAAAAAAAAAACAACCACCGCGGAGCTGGTTTGCATGGTGTTGACCTGAATAAGGGGATAATGTGCTTAAGCAGCTTATTCATTCTTCAGTGCTCTTTGGAAAGGGAGGGCTCCACAATGGTTTGCCACTCGGGGCTCAGACGTGACCACTGTTCTTTTCACTTGCTGAATGTTTCATTCTTTTGTCTCCGCCCTGGGTTTCTTCATACGTTGTTCCAAACAGGACTATAAAGGAACTTTTTGGGGCTATTTCTTGTCGAACTGTAACGTTTGTGAAGCAGAATGCACTGAGCTGTAAAGGAATTTTGAACCCTGGGTATATAGCTGGCAAGCTTTTCATCAGAGATGTGTTGCTGAATTAATTGTCTCTGCTTGTGAGACTTCCCAGGCTGGAAGTTTACACATACCCCAGAAACATCGTATTAATTGTTTTAAGTATTCCACATTAAATTTCAGCATCAAAGATACGTGAATAAATTCATGTAGTGGTCCTTATAAATGGAGCCGTTTCATAGTTCTGAGTTTTAACGTTGGCTATAGATTTCAATGCTCACAGACATGAAAGATGCAAAAGTGGCAAAAGGAGTGTATAAGAGCCGGTGTTTCAAGGCATTCCCGTGGCTACTTTAGCACTTTTTAAACAGCATAACTGTGAACACCTCTTTCTCTTGAACTTTCACAGAATCACTGCCCAACTTAAGCTGGCTTCTTGAAGGAATCAGCGTGACTCAGTCAGGCTGTGAAGTGTTTTGGAAACGTGTCTTCAGAATTTAAAAAATAAAAGGACCAAAGTCGATTGTTGTTGTTGTTTTTTCCATTTTGAGCATTGTTTTACAAAATGAGAAAACAGCCATTGTTTAATAGAAAGCTCGTGGAAGTATGTTAAAAGAGCAAATCAATTTAGGAAGAAGAGTTACAAGAGTTGGAAAGGGGATAAGTTACACTGAATTGGACCATGGAGCGTGCAGTATGCTTGCACAGGACATGGAGCAGCAGAAGCCTACTGGCATGGAAAGCTGTGGCAATGGGATTTTAGAAATGGGATTGCTGTTTCTGAGTCTTACCACGACGGTCCTGACAGAGGCTCCTGCTGCTTGGCAGTTCTGCTTTCCAAGCTTGTGTGCTCAGTCTGATGGGAAGCACGAGGCAACTCCCGTGGGGTTTCCAAACTTGTCTTAAGATTTCACATTGCTGAAGAGTTCATTTGCAATTCCTGTGAAATTATCTCCCAGAGAAATAAAATTATCCTTGATTTGTCAGATTTTCCTGAGGTCATTTCAAATAACTAGGCAAATTCAAAATGGAAATCAAAAAATAATTCCAGAAATAGTTCTTGACTACAAAATTGGAAATGATTATATAAAAAACCAAGAAGAGCATACAAAAGGGAAAACTACTTTGGAAGGTACCTGACATCAAGCTCTTGCCTGTTTTTCCTGCAGTTTCTGGAATAGGCACATATTTATGATTTTGATTTTGCTGCTAGAATACCGAGAATAATGTAAATACACAGGTAAAATTATTTCAGCCAAAGAACATGCTACTTAAACATGAACGCTACATAGAAATGGTGAAGAGGACAAACAAAATACAATGTAATGACCTCACTGTCATTTGCAAAGTAATTTTAATTTTGAGCTTTACTTGTTCTCTGATTTAAACAGTTGAATTAACAACTTCTGAAAGTCTGTAAGTAATGTATTAGAAATAGTATTAGAAATAGTTTGGTTTGAAATGGTGATGAATTTAGCAACAATTTTTTAGAAATTGGGTTTTAATTCTGCTGAATCTTTGTATTGATTTTTTAAATATTCTAATCTGATATCTTTAATTTTTTTATGGAAGTGAAGAGAAAAGTGAGGGAGGGACAAACACCTCTGTCTGTAGGTCTCCATCAGGATACTCCCAGGGGAGACAGAATACCAGCAAAGGTTTTACGTTTCTAACTGATTAAAATCAGTCTCTGACTGGGACCTGTGAACCGAAGGATTTTTCAGTTCTACAACCTAGAAAGGCTGTGAAGGGAACTTAGGCACTTTTCTAAAATACAGAAATCAGATTCCTGATTCCCAACATGAAGCAAGCTCAGCAAGCTTTCCAATCTTCATGTTGTACATTGAATGTTCTCTCCTGGAAGGAGGGGTGGTCTCTATTCAGTCAGTTAGAATAGAATAGAATAGAATAGAATAGAATAGAATAGAATAGAATCGTTTAGGTTGCAAAAGACTTTTAAGACCATCAAGTCCATTTGTCTTTGAGATGTTTTCCTAATTGAAACTGGTGTACAAGTTTCTGCAGCTGTCTTGGTTTTGCAAATTGTTTTTGGATGAAAAATGTTCAGTCAAGCTCCTGACTGATTCTACAAGCTGTTTTGGCATGTATGGGAGGATTGCACACTAGATACAACAGAGAAATAAGGTTATTCATTTTCAGAGGCCTGTGAAAAATAACAGCAAGGAGTGGTTTTCTATGAGAGTTCCTGGGGGAGCCAGTGAAAGCATTGAGACTGGAGAATTGCTGTAGCTGGAGTGAATTGTCAAAAGTGATTGCAAAACACTTTGAACACTTTTAGTAATTTGTAAGTTACAATTTGGAAATAGATCAGACCAAAACAAGACCTACTAGTAGCTTGGATGGAAAAGGTCAAAGGTTTGGTTCTGTTTTCCCATATTGAATTTTAGAAAGCAGCACATTTTCTGAATATCAGCTCATCAACACAGTTGAAATGATGGACTCTGGGAGAGATTTGTGAAATATGATGATAAAAGTAAAGAAAATGGCTTTTTAAAAATGTCAGAGCACTGTCAGGATGTAAAAGAAAAAGAGAAAAGTACTGACTAAAGCTTTAAAAGGTACTTTTGAAACATGACTTCCCAGAATAAACTTTTACTTTTTTACTTGGAAACAATGCACTTCCTTTGAGACTAGGGTATCCCTTTTCTTTCAAACAAAAGGGTGTTTCTTTAATCTCTTTGCTGTGTTTCTTCAGTCTGTAGGTAGAGGTGGATAAATGGATATGTACTTCATATGCTCGGGTTAATCCTCAAACACTGTATTGTTGTCTCCTTCTTATTAACTTAGAGCATTCTAGTGTAACTTGCTCGTGTAATAGTTCAAACTGTTTTTTCAACAGGCATTGCTGAAAGATCCTTTGTATATTGGGCTGAGACACAAGAGAATCAGAGGTCAAGCCTACGATGATCTTCTTGATGAATTCATGGAAGCTGTGACTTCGAGGTATGTGATATATCTGTACTATTCATTGGTGAATTCCACTGTGAACTTTACCTTGGGAGAAATAAAGGTCAGCAGCTTATGAAAGGAAGACCGAGTGGTTAGGTTCCTGATCATTTTTATTTTGAGCACAGTATTTTATAACTTTATAGCTGCCTGAGCTACTTGCCTTTAATATTGCAGTGTTATGAATTCACTGCACAAATGGTAAAACTCATCTTGAGATGAGTGAACCAGTTTTTCAAACTTCTTTTTCAGGACTTGGGTTGCTAGGTATCTGCCTAATAATTTTCTATGCCTAGGGCTGTGCCTACATGATTTTCTCTGTCTCTGTGATTTCATATGTGAGATGTCGGCAGACTGAAAGAAGCTACCATGCTTGGCAACCCCTGCCTCTTCCCCCACCAAACCCACGACAGGACTAAGCTTTCAGTGTTTCAGTTTTAAATGTCATGGAATGGACCTATACCAAGTCAACTCTTTCTCTTGCTTATTTTTTCCTATACAGAAAGTAGTTAAATTTATTATTAGACCATGATGCATAAAATAGTTCTCAGATGTCAAATAGCAGGTTTGCTCATATTTTCCTTGTTTGTTAAAATATTTGGATTTCTAGCCCTGCATTTAATGCATATAGCTAAAATAGTCCAAGTGCCAGGATCCTTAGCAGAATGTGTTTTCTGCAACTACATCCCAAAGCTGGGGCTGAGCTGTGGGACCTGGAAATACTTTCCAGCTCCTCAGTCTTGGCTTGTGCCCCGTCTGTGTTTTGACTCCATGTTGGGGCCTTACCTGGACATGCACCACCTCTGCTCTTCCTGCTCTGGTTCCTGCACAAAAGAAACTTGGGCAAGCAGGTAGTATTAATTTCCATGCCTGAAGCACATATTCCTTCATGTATTACTATACTCTTCCCCATCACCCCCAGCTGGCTGGCACTCCCTTGTTCATAATCTTACTATGGAAGTTGCTGGTTTGGCTCTACACTGTAATGTGTTTGCTCCTCTTCTGAGTGTTCCCCCTCAGATAAAATTGATGCATTTTCATGTCCCTAATAGAAGGTTCAGAGCATTAGAAATTGCTTTGTGGGCCACATTTTGAAAATCTCTAACTTAAAGCATTCCCTAACTCACCCTTTCTTTAAAATGAACCACAATCTTCATACTGAAGGAAATCGTCAGAGTCAAGCAGAAGATTATCTCAAGAATGTTTGAAGGTCTGGTTGACATGCTTTTTTTACTTGAACATCTTTAAAACTCTGTAATTTTGAGCAATTTTGAGCAATTTGTGTTTGCTTGACCTTCTGAAAGATCACTTCGTTCTCAGCTAAATCCGTCATGGTCTACAGTGGTGTAATTTATTTCATGTTTAAAGTGGAGCACTCACAAATTATAATTCACACTTTGCGTGGTTTACTTGTGAATTGTTTTGGCTGTGGTGTGACATCTATATTGACTATGATACTCATTTGCTAAGGTGAAGGGAAAAGTGGTGTATTAACTCAAAATCAAGTCCATTTGCTCAATAATTTCCTATGTTCCTCAATTAAAATTTGTGTTTAGTGTGCCGCTGGCAGCCTCAACACTTGCAGCTGATTCTGGTGTGGTGGGTTTGACTGTTAAAGATGCAAGTCATTATTTACTTTATGGTGTATTACTTTCCCTTGCTAGCCATTGTTGTGATCTAAGTAATTGTATACTTTTGTTAAATGCTAGTTATCTTTTCCTTGTGAAAGTTTCTCTTATGTTTTTCCTCTTTTCACTTTTCTTATCTTTCTGCTGGCTGTTTCACAGGGAGTATTTGCTTCTCTAATCTTAGATGCATGTTCGGTCTGTTACATTTTAGGTTGGTCATACTTATTGCTAGTTATTGCCATGGTACTCCAGAAGATACTTTCTTATTTAGCATTGCCTAATCAATTCTGAGAATGGGACTTCTGGGGAAATTTGTTGTTGTGTTTTCAGTACCATGGAATATTCATCTCCACAAACAACATAAAGCACAAGGCTGTCATGTGTTTTTAATAAGCCAAATTTAAAGACAGGCTTTTAAGGTGATGACAAATATTTTTAAGTTGGGAAATTAAGTTAAATACCTATTTTAGATCTTTTTCACTCTAATAATTCTCCGGAGAAGCCAAATACTAATAGATGTGAGATCCACGTTTTAGCAGCACTGCCTGGGAGCAAGCAGGAGCAGGCAGCTCCTGTGCGGGCCAGTGGACTTTGTACAGGCTTTTTGTTGGTTTCCAGGGAATCTTCCTAGACATGCACATCATCTTGATTGATTGTTACATTTTGAAAGTCTAGATTTTCATAAGATGATGCAGCATCATTTATAACATTTCATGTTGAAACATCACCTTTATGGACTAAATGTCGTAATGCGTAATAAAGAAAATGCTTTATAAAAAAGTGTGGTATATGAAGGTGTAGTTTCATCAACTACAATACTTTCTTCTTCTCAGCCTCCACTGCTATTCACCTGCAACAAACTCTTCTTATGAAACAAAATTATTTATGAAAGAGTCTAGATTTAAAAAAAAAACACCAACCCACAACTTAAACCATCCATTACTAAAAGATTTTAGTACAGTATGCAGTGTGCTATCATGGCAGAATGGAACTAGTACAATGTGATTTTTCCCAGATGTGGGAAGGCAAAAGCATATGGAAAGTATCAGGATTTCTGTTGACATAAATCCAGTGAAAAGCTTTTATTTATTTAAGTATGCATACATTTATCTGTTTGTTTATTTATTACCAGTGTCAGCAGCTGCCCTCTCTGAGGGCAGGTGCTCTAATCTCTCTTGACATTACTATGTGTTTCTTGGTTTTGTGTTGGTGTGGTAATTTAGGGGAACAGGAATATTCTAAATGGAAGGAATGTTTTATAAGATGAGAAAAAAGGGACAGTTATCTTCATCACTGAAGAACATAAATCAAATTGGAATTCAGAAACATTGTTAAGTTTCTGCCCTATGGAGAAATGGGTCATAAAACATTTTATATAGAGAAGTAGATTTTTCCAAATGGCAAGTTGTTCTTAAATATCTATGTTTACAGAGGAAACTCTGAGAGGAGGGATTGCTAAACAAGACTCTGGTAGCTGGGATTGATCCACCAAGGCTTCCTGTGTAACCAGAGGAAATAACTCTATGTTTTTATTCCAGTTCCTATTTCTTCCATACTTGCCTGTAATGATGCAAATAGAAATATAATCAATGGCCAAGAGGTATTAATGTACAACAGTGAAGTGATTATGGAAACACTCGAGGGGAAAATATGTAGAATGGAGATGGAACAAGAAATGAAGGGAGAGGAAAAAAGCACCTTTTTAATAACAGGGACTTGAATTTCCTTGTCTGATGCAAAACGTAGATTTAAAGGGTCTGGCAATTTTTTCCTTATTTTGAAGGACACTTCATTTTCACAAATCTGGTAAAGATAACTCCACCTTGAACCCCTCCAAAAAATGCCAGAGTAAGGAAGAACAGCATCCTACCAGCTTGCTTTCTGCTGCAGTCCATCCCCAATGGAGGCATTGTACACTGGGGAGGGACAATACTGACTTGCATCTCTGGTCTGTAAATGGATGGGAAACTTTTAGAAAATGGAAAGAACCTGGTATGTATTTCCCATAGGTTATTTCCTTGCCCACATACCGCAACCCAAAAGAGTTGGGAGGAGTTATTATTCTATTATAAACTAAACTCCGTGGATCTGGAATGTGTAAAAGCAACCTTAAATCACTGAAATTATCTTTCTATGCACGTGTGATGGTGAATTTTCAGTTTCACTTCAAGATGCAAATAATAGTGTTGGACCCTTGAAAAGTAATATCGTGTCATTTATGTTCTCTTCTGTAATCATATTTTAATTAAATCCTTCCCCACTCTTTTTATATGCTGTGCTTTTCTCAGGTTTGTGAGCTATAAACCAAGCTGCTGACAGTTGTGATTCAGTATGTTCTGTCCTAAATTACCATGATGTAGTCATTATTCCTCATTTGCCTGATTACATTATTCACAGATGGTAGCAGGCTTTCATTTCACATCATGTGTTACTTTAAAACAGTGTTTTATGGTAAGTACGGTTTATCTAACTTTGAGAACAACTGTAAAAGTAATATATCCACAAAACAAAAACACACAAATATTTTAATAGATGTTTTCATTTAGTAGATGACATTAGAATATAGTTCAATTTGTGAATAACTTAATTAGTTCGAACAGCCCTTACTTCTGGCAAGAAGTCAACATAAAGGTCCTTACAGCTGTGCGTCGTTAGGGAAGTGGTTGGACCACACAGTGGTTCTGACAGTATGCTCCAACACAGATTGTGAGTCCATGTGCCTCTGTCCTCTTCTGCACTGCTGTGGTGCAAGACCAAGACTTGTACCATGCCTGTACGTTCCCATATTGTTCACGTTAAAGTGGCTGTCAGGAAGTGAGCAGGAAGAAATCCAGCTACAACTCCCTCCTATGGCAGACTTGGTGAAGATCTTTCTGGTTAGAGATTTTGTCCCTCAGTGGGACTTAGGCCCTTTGAGGCAATTTTGCACATCTGTGACTACCTGCTCCGTCCACTGTTCAGTGAACATTACCTTCCTAGTGAAGATCACTGCAAGCCTACACGCTGCCTTGATTACAGTTACAATTGCTCTTTGAACCTACCCCCAGTTCCTTCCTGTGGTTACATCTGAGGTTCATTTTCAGCCATTGATGGGTTTGTGTTCTTCCTTAAACTGCTTAGTTCCAGGGCTTAGGCTTCTTTGCCCACCTAGACTCCCAGGCGGACTTTGCTTTTATACTAAGAGGGTAAAACCATTCAAGAGGATTCTTAGGTTGTTTGCCAATTAGAAAAGGCCCTCAAACTCAAAAACATTGTGGTTTTAAAACAGGGACTGTTGCGTTGGATAGTGGAGAGTGTTCTGGAAGAGGAAAACTCAAACAGTTTGATAAGCAGGATTTATTTTTTTATTATAGTTCAAGCAGCTGTGAT